GCTCACTTTGTAGCCCAGGCTGGTCTCAAACTCAAAAGGATCCTCCTGCCTCAGCCTCCCGAGTGCTAGGATTACAGGCATGTGCCACCATGCCTGGCTGAAAACTTAAATTTACTAAGTTGCACTGTTTGAAACTCCTGGCAGGTTACGAGGTGTGATCAAAAACTGTGGTGAAGCCGGGCATGGTAGTGCACACCTGTAATCCCAGCACTCAGGAGGCTGAGGATCACTGTAAGTTTGAGGCCAGCCTGGGCTACACAGTGAGTTCAAGTCCAGCCTGAACTATAGCAGAGACCCTGTCTCAAAAAACTAAAAAACAAAACAAAACACTACCGTGTTTACAAAAGAATATTTCAGGAAAAGACACATTCCTCAACATGCCTCCTCCCACTCTGAGCACTCCCTCAGCGTTCCTGCCACTTTCTGAAGCAGTTCTGGAAGTCCTCTTTTGCATCTTTAGTTGCTCTGTTGTGGCTGCCTGATGTCTTGACTCGATTCAAAACATTTTATCTTTCTCGGTCATTTTGACTTTGGGGATGCCCCAGAAACTGGCTGGTGCCAGACCAGTGAATGAGGAAGATGAGAACACACTGCAGTGCTGGTACGAGTCTGCCGTTCCTTGACCCCTCCTCCTAACGACACCCATGAAGGAGGACCTGCAGAACTGCTTCAGAAAGGGGGCAAGAATGCTGGGCACAGTAGTACGCACCTGTAATCCAGCACTTGGGAGGCTGAGGCAGGAGGATTGCTGTGAGTTCAACGCCAGCCTAAACTACAAAGCAAGACTTTCTCAAAAAAAAAAAAAAAAAAAAAAACAACAATGTAAGAAGAATGATGGAATAAGTGTGTTTGAAGCAAAGGGCAGTTTTTTGAGGGGGGCTAATATTTATTACATTTACATAATGTTTTAAAAACTTAAACATTCCCTGTGCATTTTGATTACCTTTTGTATCTTGAAACACCTTTAGGCGTGCCTGGGAAAGCTTTATGAAACATGCTTGCATTTTAGGGGTAAAATGAGAATGTGAACGTTTATTATTTATTTATTTATTATTTATTTATTGTCTTTTTGAGACAGGGTCTCATTATGCAGTTCAGGCTGGCCTTGAGCTCACTTTGTAGCCCAGGCTGGTCTCGAACTTGCAATCATCTTCCTGCCTCAGCCTCCCAAGTGCTGGGATTACAGGTGTGCGCCACCACGCCCGGCTGAGAATGTGAACATTTAAAAACTGCATTTTTCTTACGTAAGAGGCTAGGAGGGTAAAGAGAAAGGATGTCCTGCTTTCTAAAATACACATTCACTGCCAGGTGTGGTGGCACATGCTTGTAACCCCAGCTCTGGGGGAGCTGAAGCAGAAGGATCACTTTGAGTTCAAGGCCAGCCTGGGCTACGTAGCAAGACCCTGTCTCAAAAAACAAACAAGAAAACAAAACCATAGCACAACGAAAACACATGTCCACACGACGTCAGGGCAGGCCTCCGTGTCTGACTTTGTGCTCTTCCGCAAGCTCTGCCTCAAGCTCAGGCCTGAGTCTTAGGTTGTAAGCTTTGTTTTCCAACCACAGGAGTACACTGAGCACAGGTGCTTCGAGGGCGGCAGTGCCAGCGTCAGGCGGCAGGTGCTGGCTGACCTGCAGCGCAGAGACCCAGCCTCCTTGCCAGGTGCCCGCTGGAGCAGTCACAGAGGACAGCAGCTGCCACAAGGTGGCCGGCCCTGACCTCACCTTCTCCCTGAGACAGGGAGTTTACTTCTTATCTATTCTCTTCCATTGGTCTGTCTGATTTTGTTTTGTTGAGACAAGGTCTTGCTTTGTAGTTCAGGCTGGCCTTGAACTCACGAGGTGATCTTCCTGCTTCAGCCTCTGAGTGCTGGGATTGTAGGTGTGTGTCACCACGCTGGCTACGTGACCAACAATTTTAGATATAGATGTTACAAGGTCTCTTAAATATGAGTATCTTATATTTTGCCCCCAAAAATGGTGCTCCTGGCTGGGTGTGGTGGCACACACCTATAATTGCAGCACTCAGGAGGCTGAGGCAGGAGGATCATTGTGAGCTGCAGGCCAGCCTGGACTACAGAGTGAGCTTAAAGCCAGCCCAAACTGCACAGCGAAACCCTGTCTCAAAAAGACCAAAAAAAAAAAAAAAAAAAATCTGGGACAGGAATTTGCCAAGTTACCCAGGCTGGACTTGAATGTGTGACACTGCCTCAGCCTTTCAAATAGCTGATCTTACAGGTGTATGCTACCATTGCTAGCTTTGTATGCACATTTTGAAATGCCACATTGTATCCCACAAATACGACAACTGAAACAACTATTTCAACTGAAACTAGAACTTAAAAAATGTTTTCAAATTTCAAAAGAAATTAAGTGTTTCATTCTTTCCAAAACAAAACTAGAAGTCAGCCACCAAGTCCATCAAGCCGGAAGGCTACTGCCCTCTAGAGGTAGATTCGGGAATGCTGGTGCTTTTGCCTTGTGACTAAGTGGGCAGTGGGAGCTGCCCCTGGCATTCGGTCTCCAGGAACAATGGGTGGCAGACACTGAAATGCAGCTTATTTACTTTTAAAAAAACTTTGTTTGAGACAGGGTCTCACTTTGTAGCCCAGGCTGGCCTAGAACTCATGGCTACCCTCCTGCCTCAGCCTCTCGAGTGCTGGGATGACAGGTGTGTCACACCCCGCCTAGCTTTTCCTTTTAAGTACACACTCAGAGTCACAGACCTGCCACACAGGGACATCTGTCTGGAGCTGGGAATGTCTGTGTTCTTGGCAGTGGACATCTCTGGATTTGTGCATCTATAGTCTGGGCTTATGTCCCCCTTCTTTTTTTTTTGGTCTTTTTGAGACAGGGTCTCCCTATGCAGTTCAGGCTGACTTTGAGCTCACTTTGTAGCCCAGGCTGGTCTCGAACTCGCAACAATCCTCCTGCCTCAGCCTCTACCACGCCCGGCTTGTCCCCCTTCTTTTAAGCAGGGAAGCTGCCTAACTGGAGCGGCCACCTAAGCGGGGGAGCATCCTGCCTGCTGCGTCCTGGGCGGCCACCTGGGGCAGAAGCAGTGGGTTCTGGATAAGGATTTCTTGCCACCCTTCATATACTGAGTGCTAACCTGCTCTGTCAGCCACGGACTCCAAATTAGAGAAATGGCACCTGGTCTTAAGGAAGATTTTTTTCTGGGACGGTCTCACTATGTAGTGTAGGCTGGCCTAGACTCACCATATAGACCAGGTGGCTGGCCTTGAACTTGCCGCGATCCTTCTGCCTCAGCCTCTTGAACACTGGGATTACAGGTTGTGCCACCGTGCCTGGCAGTAACGAAGATTTGAATATAGTATTTTTTATGTATATTTGAGTCACATATGTGTGCCTTACAAAAAACAGTATTTACAAACTCAGTATGTTATTGTGGCATTCATGGCGACACCCAGTGGGTCAAAGTCCGCTTGGGTTGCCTCGGCAGGCAGAGACTGCTAACTCTGAGGGGGAAGCATCGTGAAGAGGGGATGTTTGCCAGCTCTGGTACAGATGGGCCTCACAGGCAAAATACGGAAGACCCTGAGGGGACAATCAGATCAAACTTAATTCCTCCGCCAAACTGTCACCGCGCCCTGCCTGCCTCCTTGCTACCTAAAGCAAACATCTGTGCTCAGGAGGACTCGATGGCTTTGCCGTGCCTCAGTAAATCTGGGGGTTCGAGTCAGTTTGGGGCTTCACCCCATTCCCGTGAAGACCCGCCCCCTGAAGAAGATACCGTCTCTCCCAAGTTCTCTGGTCTAAAAGAGCTTGCTAGGCCGAAGCCCGCACATTAGCAAAAGGCACAGTCCTGAATAGTTTTAAAAAAGACAACGTTGGGGCTGGGGATTTAGCTAAGCGGCAAAGCGCTGCCTGGCAAGCGCAAGGTCGTGAGTTCAATTCCTGGTACCGGAAGAAAAACAAAAACAAAAACAAACAAACAAAAAGATGTTAAGCTCTTTAAACAGAGAGGGAAGGCTTTATTCCAGCTATACATGCGCCAACCTCACTGTCTACTGCTGTGTCTGGCAGTTCTTGTCCTGTGACCCGGCTGGCCTGCACATTCATCTCTGGTTCTTCTTCTGCACGTTGTACACAAGCGAAGGTGGTCTCCTGGTTTTGTAGGCCACGCTTCTCCGGATGCGCTCTCCCTTGATGTTAGCGATGTAGGGCAGGAGCGGAGGCCGGACAGTCATAGCTGTCCCCCGGGGCACGTAGCCTCGGAGACGCAGTCTGTCCTGAAGACTAGGCGTCACTGCAACCCAACCTGCAAGGCAGGTGACAGACACGGAAGGCTGTCAGCAACCATCTCAGGAGAGCACCAGCGCACAGAGAAACAAGTGCAAAAACCTGAAATGAATCAACGGAGCAAAGACAGCACCAAAGCAAAACTGCTTTCACTGTATTTTTAGAAAAGCATACAGTGCCTTCCTGAGAAGTACAAACTTATTTTTAGAATAAGCTGCCTTTTATGAGTAAAGTGATACATATTCCTTAAAATAAGGCATCTTTCTATGAAAACACACAAGTTGGTAAGGCTACTTTATTTATTTATTTGTTTGTTGGTCTTTTTGAGACAGGGTCTCACTATGCAGTTCAGGCTGGTGTTGACTTCACTTTGTAGCCCAGGCTCATCTTGAACTTGCATTGATCCTCCTGCCTCAGCCTCCTGAATGCTGGGATTACAGGGTAGCATGCCTGGCCTTTCATTTGTTTTTTAAAAAGGTGCTTAAACTG